GAAGTAGACAGGGTCCTGGGGGCTGGCCTGGGCCCAGCTTCCATCATCTTGGGGCAGTTTTGAGCATAGAACAGCAAAGATTTGCCCGCCTTCTGCAGAAAGGTCGGGGATACTCGGGATAAAAACGGGCAGCGACGCACAACAGTCTCCATGTCTGGAAGGAGTGCTGGCTTCTGCCTGAGGGGTCTCTACGAAGGAAGCGGCGACCGAGGCGGCGGAGGGGAAGTTGGACTCCTGTGCTGATAAGGCGACACTAACCTTTAACCTTGTCTACGAGCAGCCTTGTTGTTATGTTTATGTGCCTTTGAGTTGGAACCGACTCATAGCTGACCTTCCAGCTATGGGGCAGGGGATAGGGGAGTGAAGTAGATGGGAGATTAGCTGTACTCTCCTGCAGAGCAGCTGGTGGATTCAAACTGCCATACCTCTGGGATTGCAGCACAGCTTCAGAGCACGAGGCTACCAGAGCTCCCTACATATATACATAGGAATACAAATACTGAATATATGAATACAAAAATGTTACAAAATGTGTTTTTTTTATTCTGTTTTTGTTCAACTTTGGGTTTCAGTTTTAATTTTTTGAAAAAAAATTGGATTAATACAGTGCCTGTAACAATGGGCTACAGCATGGAGGAGATTGTAAAGGTGGCACAGAATAGGTCAAGGTTCTGATCTGTTGTTCTTAGGGTCCCTATGAGTGTAGTGAACTCGACAGCATTTAACAACTAACAGGGCAGTTTGAAAACCACTCCTATGTCTCTCCCCAGAGTAACAGCCATGTACAAGTTGCTGCTGCTGGTTGACCCTAAGAGAATAGAACTATGTTCCATAGGATTTTCAAGGACTGATTTTTTTGGCAGTTGATCACCAGGATTTGCTTCTGAGGCATTTTTGAGTGGACTCAAATTTATAACAGCTGAGCTTGTTAATTGTTTGCATTGCCTAGGAACTCCAGACAGTTGTTAATCTAAAGTTGTTTTGTCTGAGTGATACAAATGCTTAATGTAGGGGAGCTCTGGTGGCCTAGTGGCAAGGAGCTGCAACTACAATCCCAGTGGCTCACGGTTCGAATCCACCAGATGCTCTGCCGGGAAAAGGAGGGACAATCTCCTCCTGTACCAGTCAGATCTGATTTGACGGTACAGTCACACAAAAATAAAAAACAAACAAACAAACAAACAAATGCTTAATGTACTCAATTGTCAATTAAAAGCCTAGAGCTTTGAGTGAACCCAGAGGGTGCCTAGGAAGACAAGCCTGGCTATCTAATTTCAAAAAAACAGCCTTTGAAAACCATATTGAACACATTTCAACTCTGACACATATTCAGGGTCCTTCATAAGTCGGAGTTGTCTCAATGGCCCTGGTTTTTAGTATTTTGTTTGTACAGCCTATTTGTTTATTTTTACAGAAATGGTTAAAAAACATACACTGTTTGTACCTTTTCTCCTTCGATTACCAATAAATATATTTTAAAGATGTTTCCTACTAGGACCTTTTTTAAGAACATCACTCTAGTATTTCTTTGTATGGATTTATCACCTATATTTAGTCAGCTTCCTGGATGGAGGTCTAAATTATTTTTCAGCCATTATTTTATATACACACTGCTGTGTTTCTCTCTTGAGAAGCTTTCTGGAATATATCTGCAATATGTATTCCTAGTAGTGGCTACTACTACTTAAAACATATTATATATAT